CTTCATAAAAAATTGGGTCAGTATCTGTTCTATATTTAAAACACCCACAAAATTAATAATATACATACATAAATTTAAAATCCTAATCTAGGTTCAGAACATGAAATATTTACAACTCATTTGTGCAACAAACTTTCTATATCTGTTTGAACCTTCCTAGATCTGCTCGAACATCTAGTTTCATGGTACACCACATGACATATTAATTAATGCACTGTAAATATTAAATAGAGGTTAAATTCAACTAAAATTATAGATTTTAATGACAAGCCTACGGGATGCCTGGTAGATCGCGTAAGGGTGAGCAATCCGCTCCCTTACAGTCTCGATTCCCAAACCCAGAAGTATCGGGTTCCCATACCCAAGGCAGACCCCTCGGCTTCCCACTGGTGAATCGGTTTCCTGTACTCGAGGAAGACCCCTCGGCTTCCCACTGGTGAATTGGGTTCCCATACTCGAGGAAGGCTCCTCAGTTTCCGAGTGGGTGGGTGACCAGGCCGAGCTTGCACGGCCAGCCCAACACCGATCGCTCGCACCCGTAACCCTAAAGCCAAAATAATCATAAAAAGAAGCTTACTTACATCAGTGTGGTGCAATTCGACCTCAGGTTCAACTTTAGATGATCTACTTAGCTCCCCATGACTCTCCTTGTTTGCTTGAAGTTTGGATGATGGATTTTCACACCTATATACTAGTCAGTGCGAAATAAGAAAAGGATTGAAGGAAAATAGAGATGAAAAGATGAAAAAAGATGAATTTTTACCTTATTTGCTTCGGTTTTCGCTGTCACACGATGCTCCTCGGCCCGATTTCCCTTCCTTCCCTTTTCCTTCAGCCTCGGCTTCCACAAAGCTGCTGCCTCCGCTATTCTCTCTTCTTTTCTTCCCTTGCGGCGGCCATTCTCAATTCTTCCCCTCACTTTCCCACTCGACTATGCTTCTCATTCTCTCCTTTCCTCTTCTCTAGCCTCCTCTTTGTCACCCAATCAACTCTCTCATTTTTCCTCTCATTTTTGGCTTCTCTTCTCAAAATGAAGAAAAACCCTAATATCTTTCGTTATATACCCGTCTCCTTATCCGTTGGATCTCACAAGGCTCGATTTGGGCCATTTATCGTTAATAAAATCTCAGTTGTCAGATCCCTCAGACGGTTCGATTAGGATCATCCATTTTCTGATTTCTTTTTGCCCCCTTCCACTTCTATTTATTTATATTTTTACCCTATTTTTTCTTACGTATTTTTATTTAAGTCCTTTAAATTAAATAAAAATAAAAATTTTTAAGATTCATTTCATTTAGACCCTAATCCCTATTTAATTATTTATTTACTTACTCTTTTATTTTATTTAGGGTCTGGATGTTACAATATCATTTCAACTATAGTTCTATAACTGTAGGTGTCCAGCATCAAAGTATGATAAATGACTTGTTAATTTCTTTGATGATCTTAGGTTAAAGAAAATTCTTATATTTCATCATTTTAAGAGAATATTGTATTGACAGTTTTATGTAATATTTAACATTAAAAATTCTCAATTGGGTCGGTTTAATAATTATCTGTTTATATACATCATCTATATATGCAATTTAGTTAATGAGATCAATTAATTTTTATCTTATAGAGACCATCACATACATATTTTACCGAATCATGAATGTCTTATTTTGATGATCTAACGACCAAAAATATTTTAGATTAAATAATAAATATTTTTATTCTCATTATCAAGATCTCCATATTGATATAAAGTCTCTAAATTTAATCAAAAACTTTATCATATAAATTAAACAATAAGATAATAAATATAATAAAAAAATATTATTGCTCTATATTAAAATAAATTGTCAAATAAAAATTTATTCAATATATCACACTAAAAATTAGATCTTGGGCATAATAATTATATCCTTAACATAAGTACCTTATGATTTTTAAAATATTTTATGGTGAATAAGAATTTATTTCTTATATAGACTTTATGTTACATTTATTTAGAATAGATAATCAGTAAAAATAATTTTAAAAAATTAAATTAATAAACTGTAGTCATCTAATTGATTAGACTGTTGTCCTAAAACCAAAATACCACGTTATTGAATTTTTTTTCTTCTCTCACTATTCACACATTTTATATCTCCTGATTCCCTATCCAATACATCTTTTTGTCCATCAATGCATGTTTCTTCCTTAATAAGTTCATTATATTTTCACTTTCTTATTGTACTTTAAAAAATGATGACTTCCAAAAATGTTGGTGTTAAATTTGCTTATAGATTTGGGCATGTCAATTTGTTAAGAGCTGCTCATCTTGGACTTTTATATGACGTTAATAAAGGAGATTACATAAAAATGCTTTGTAGCTCAGGCTGAGTCAATTGGTCCAACAAATATCACGAGACAAAAGTAATTGCACTAAAGGAATTGATAAGTCATTGGTGAGAGATCATAACTATTCTTCTATGATATTTAAAATTGATAAACTACAAAATCCATTCAAGGTTGTTTTTTAATGAATTGTCACGAATGTTAGTGGCTCAAGCTCTTTTTACAAAGTAACTATATGTTTGAATCATAATATTAGTATCATGGTGAGGCTTTAAATTCTTTCTTTTAAGTCTTCACATGAGAAGAAATCTTTCAAAGTTGGTGTTGCTACGGAAGGATTAGAATATCCAATATCTGCATCTGAAGATTTGTATAATTTGTCTTTTTTTTTTTATAACGATAAATTATAGTAATTTTTTTCTTTAATTTCTTTTATCTTATCTATTCATGTTAGAACTGTTGAAATCAGTTTCATAATTTATTTATTGTTTAGATTTATGCGAATAACAAAATAAAAATAAACACTCGAATCGGAATCAAAATTGAAGTTAAAACAGGGGCATAACAAAGGTTTATTATTCACCTTGCATAGTGGAAAAATGTGACAAAATCTTATAATAATGTGTTTTAATTCTAAAGTTTAAAATACCAATAATTAACATCCATTTTTTATATATTGGAGCCATGAATAGGGTTTTGGAAATAAGCAACCCAACAATTCAAGTCACGGTATAATAATGCAGTAGAAGCTTTTTTGCTGAGAGTACTATATGTATATGTATATGTATATGAATTTTAGTTCCCAACTTAGTTCTAAGAAATTATGTGATATTTGAGTTTGAAGTTAGGTTTTTGAAAATAAATCAGAATTTATTCCTTATGTAGATTTTAGGTAAAATTTACCTACGAGAGACGGTCGGTAAAAAATTTTTTAAAAAGTTCAATTAGAAAATTGTAGTCCTCCAACTAACTTATTGATCTACCATTATCCTAAAACTAAAAAAATTGAGTTATTGAATAGTTTTTTCTTCTCTCACAAATCACACTTTTTATGATTAAATTCTATTTACTAATAAATTAAATAATAATATAATACGATATATATATATAATTTTAATTTGTAAGTTATAATTTAACAACAACGTTTCAAGATTTAAAAATCTAAGTTGTTGTCTCTAGCAAATCGGTTTCATATTTTCCAATTAGTAATTCCTCCTGTTATATTCTATTTTATCTTTTTTTTTTATAATAATAATTGTAATAATTATTTTAATTTGTAAGTTATAATTTAACAACAAATTTACCAATTTAATTAAATTAAGTTAATGAAGTGTATGCTGAATATTGCTTTCTACTTGGAGAATATCTGAATTTGATTTTTGCCACAAAAAAAAAAAAAAAAGAGATGTTAAAAGAAAGTAGATTTCTGGGTTAAGAAAAAAGGTTGAAAGGTATATAAAACTTGCAGAATATATATGCTTACTTTTCCCTTCGACGACAAGTCAGAAGATCCAATAGAGCTTTATGTTGGATGATGATTCAATTGGGTTTTGCCTTGGAATCTGCTTCCTTTCTTCCTTCTCCTTTTCCTTGTAACAAAAACAAAACACTCCTACCTTTCTTTTCTTTTCTTTTCCCCCGAACACACACCCACGTTTACATTTTTAAGTTTATATACTAGACCTGGTTAAAGAAAACAAAGCATATATGTGAAAAACCAAATGGGTTTGCTTTCCAAGTTGATATGGTTGTTGTTGGTGCTGTGGTGGTCCGCCGAGGGTGTGATGGGTCTGGGCTGCAACTGGGGAGTCCAATCAACCCATCCTCTTCCTCCCAACATCGTCGTAAAACTGTTGAAGGATAATGGTTTTAATAAGGTCAAGCTGTTTGAAGCTGAACGTGGTGCCCTAAAAGCTCTCGGCAGATCCGGCATTCAGGTCATGGTTGGTATTCCCAATGACCTCCTTGCACCTATCGCAACAAGTCTCTCATTTGCTGAGAATTGGGTTCAACAGAACGTCTCCCATTATATCTCTACTTACGGCACTGATATAAGGTCTATATAATTACCCTTGTAATCTTTAATTCTTTATATATGTATATCTTCAACTCTTTCTGTTCATAGGTACGTAGCTGTGGGAAATGAACCATTCCTCAAGACTTACAAAGACACGTTCCTCCAGACAACTTTTCCTGCTCTTCAAAATATTCAAGCAGCTCTTATAAAAGCTGGTTTAGGAAGGCAAGTCAAGGTGACTGTACCACTCAATGCAGATGTTTATCAGACCGATAATGGCTTACCCTCTGGTGGGAACTTCCGGTCCGACATTCATGACCTCATGATCTCCATTGTAAAGTTTCTGAGTGATAACGCTGCTCCATTAACCATCAACATTTACCCCTTCCTCAGCCTTAACGCCGATCCTCATTTCCCCAGAGAATATGCTTTTTTCAATGGCTCAGCAGCTCCTGTTGTTGATGGTTCCATTGCTTACACCAATGTTTTTGAAGCCAACTTTGATACTCTCATCTCTGCTCTTGAAAAAAATGGCTTCTCTAAACTTCCGGTCATCGTCGGCGAGGTGGGTTGGCCGACGGACGGCGACCCAAGTGCTAATACGGACAATGCTCAAAGATTTAACCAAGGACTTATCAATCGGATCATTCAAGGTCAAGGTACTCCAAAACGTCCAAACCCACCTGACATCTATCTTTTTGGACTAGTTGATGAAGATAACAAGAGTATTCAGCCAGGAAACTTTGAGCGTCACTGGGGGATTTTCTACTACGATGGAAGCATCAAATACTCATTGGATTTGGGAAGTGGAAGAAGCTTAGCATCTGCGAAAGGCGTAAAGTATTTGAGCAGACAATGGTGTGTAATGTCACCTGAGGCGAGTATTACAGACCCGGCTTTGGCAGGGGGTATAAGCTATGCTTGCCAGTATGCGGATTGTACGAGTCTTAGTTATGGATCTTCTTGTGGTTCTTTAGATGTTCGGAGAAATGCGTCTTATGCTTTCAATGTGTTTTATCAGACGGTGGATCAACGACGGGGTTCTTGTTCGTTTTCTAACTTGTCGACGATCACCACCGTTGATCCATCTCAGGCGCCTTGCCGGTTTGGGATCATGATCGATCTGGGAAAGCACGAGGTGGTGACTGCGAATGCGGCAGCGGAGACAAGAACAATAAGGCAGCGAGATTCAATCGTGGGTCTGATCATGTTTGTGTTGATGTTGATTATTAGAGATATTTCATGAGATCTGTTTTTAAGATCTGAAATCCTCCATACATGCATCGCTTTTGCTCGTTATTTTGAATGTCTCCTTGTTCATAACTCGCTGTAATACTAGTCATGAATAGGGTTACGTTTCTCTTTCAGCAATTCTTTTCTTGCTTGAATATGAAATATTATATATAAAGTGGTGTGTGTGTGTGTGTATATAAATATACATAAGCACTAATTGCGTGGTGTAAAGAATTATCCAAAATAATTAAAAAAAAATTGATTTGCCAAAAAAAGTGTGTAACTAAGAAGACAAGATGTATAGTGTTAGAGTTGTATTTAACTATATGATTAAAAATTATAATCAAGCATTACAATTATATTAATTATCTGATAAAAAAAAATACTACTAAAATTGAAATTGATTAATTAAAAGTCTTACTAGGAACGTAATAAAAAAATTATACCAAAATTGTCTGATTGAAAATTAATCAATAATTTTTTTAATCGTTAATGAAGTTTTTACATAATTAACTTAATATAAACTTTTAAAAAAATAATTACATAAAATTTTTACAAATCCCTAGCAGACCAAAAGTTGTATGATTATTATTATTTTTCAAATGTGACAAATGACATTGACATTTTTAAAACATGTGGCACTGATGTATCACTAGAATTTATTTATTTTTTTATTATTTAAAAAATAATATTTGATATTCCTAAGTAATTAAATAATAATATTTAAATTTAAAAAATCGCCAAAAACTTAACGTTGGATTTGCTTGTCCATGCAATTAAAAAAAAAAAAAAAAAGTGTTTTTAAAGAATATGATAGATCATGAAATTCGTACCCGACCCAACTGGATATCCGACCCGACACATGCGAGTCCGCAGACCCTACTTGCATATTCGTTTGCTGAATCTCTCTTCTGTATCTTTTCTTTCTGCAACTTTTCTCCGCCATTTCCTTTTCTTGTCTCCTAATTTTCTTCTCCCAAATTTTTAATTCCCATTAACCAGAAATAAGCATTTCTGCTAATATTCTCTTCCAAATTCCATCATCCGTTCATTAATTAATAATAAAATTCAAACCAAATTAGATATTCTATTTTTATGCTTTATTTATTTATTTATTTTGCGGCAAGAGAGAGATTATAAGGTGGCTTGCCGCGCCTCCCTCTCTTTTCTCCTCCAACGAATACATTATAGTTTCAGTCTCAAAATCATTGGTTAGGGTTTTCTTTAAATCCCTGCGAAATCTTCTCTTTATGTTTTTTTAAAACTTTCTTTCCCATTTCTTTTAAGGCGCTGCTGTTGGTGCGCCGACTAATGATGGAAATCGTCATTGCTTTGTATTTCTACAGTCATCATTATTTGTCTGTAAATTCTTGCTCCTGATTAATTTCTATCTTTACTTTTCTTTCCGGGATCAGATTTTCGGTTCAGTATCTGGCTTTTCCCACGATCTTGGAGTAGATACCCAACCAGAAAGAGAATTTATAAGTGTTAATGTTGGAAGCTGAATGTGAAAATTCGTTATGTTAAATAGGCAAACCAAGATTCGTTTATTCTTCAATCAAATCCCAAACCTCAATACCCAGTCTCTCATGTCTTGTTACTTCACCGGTAACGAGCCCTTCCTCAAGGGATTTTTCCACTCTGCAACCAGTGACCAACCCCTATGTCACCCATTTCTCACGAAAATAGCGTCTCTCAGAACTTGCGGCAGCAGCAATGGTGGGTTTAGGATCAACGGCAAGCCCCCGGGATTATCTATAAAAGGCTGCTTTGATTCTCAGAAGATGAGCGATCAAAAGGCACAGGCTGCAGCCTTGGCTCCACACCGGCCGTTGATGCGGGATTTGGAGATTGGGGTTATACAGGAGCGCACTGAAACGAAATTGGTCAATGGGCACGGGGCCTGCCAACGAGGAAACCCCCTTCGGTTTGCCCCTGACCACGAAAAGCTCGTCGTTGCCGTTGATGTTGATGAGGGTATTTTCTGATTCGTATTTTCCTAATTAACATTCTTCGTGTTGGTTATTAATTTATATGTAGTTTTGGAAAAATCTGCCAAGACTTGACAGTTTTATATTCGATTTCAGCTAAAGTTCGTGACTTGACAGTTTGGATGTATTTTTTTTAATATGAGCATACTTGAAGTGTTTCTGTTCGGGATCTTTTAGCTGTTTTTTTAGTGCTAATATAAATGACTAGCGAAAAAAAAAAGTTATAGTATTTATGAAATGTCAATTCACCTTAAGTTTGGTTAGCTCTGTCCTCAAATTTGAAAATCTGGTTGACACCAAAATGCTTATTGTGAGACGTGACTTCAAGTTTATTTTATATTTTAGTTAAGTGTCCATACAGGTTAGCTTACGCCAAAATTTAGCTGGTGTGACACCAGCAAGATGATAATTCTGATACATGGCTTGATAATCATTTCGTTTAGCCGGTTTCTTCTGGGTGTTGATAGTAGTTTTTATGCATTCACATGCATTATGGTCATCAGTGCATTGATTCTTGCACACGGCCTGTTCTTGTAGCTGATTTTGTCTCTTTTTCAGCCATCTTCAGTTGCTCTTTTTTGATGCTGTGTTTACTTTATTTACATTCTGTCTTTGCTTTAATGGGAAGCAGTTTTAGGAGATTTCATATCAGCTCTCAACAGATTTATTGCGGATCGTTACTCTTTGAATCATTCCGTTTCAGAATACCATGTTTACGAGTTTTTCAAGGTACTATGGACTAGCATCTTCTTTAGTTTTTCATTATCCAGTAACAGGTAAAAGTATTTTATAGTCAGCTCTTATCAGCTTTAAAGCTAGTGACTGGTAAAATGTGCCAAGGTAGGATCCTGCATGTACCTGTCATGTGGTATTGTACTCGCTTGGGTTAGCGTGCATGAGTGTGGCTTTGGCATTACCTTCTCTTTCTCCCAAATAAATGACCAACCACGCGTGTAATTTGCTTGAATTTAAGTGATGCTGCTAGAAATTTCTTGTGGGCTACGAGTGCTTGCATCTCACTTGGAAAGTAGATGGAACTGCCAATTGTAGGAACATAAGAAGGCTTAGTTTCTCGTTATGTTTGGATTGAGAAAAGTGAAGAGAAAGGAAAGGAATGGAAAGAAAAGGATACTAATAATCTTTTCACTTGTTTGGATTAAAATAGTAGAAGAAAGGAGAGGATGGCAAGCATCCTTCTGAATTAGGGGAAGAGAATGGGAAAGCAAAAGATTTAGCCTTAACTGCCTAACTTATCACTATATATATGGGTAAAAACTTGATAATTACATTCATGCAAAGTATTATGGACTGATTTTTTGAAGTTAATCTTCCATTTTCTTTACAATGTTAAATACTTTTCCATCTTTTCCTTCAAAAACCACTTGTTTCCTTTCTCCTAAATTTCTTAACTCGTAGCCATATAATGTTTTAAAGATTTGACAATGTATCCGGCTGGAGTTGTTTATCCATTTCATTGGTGCTTCATATTGTAACTGAGATCTCAAATTTCACTGGTGCATAGAGCAGGCTAGTGCGTCTGAGCTTTCCTGTACCAAATAACTCTCTGGGAGATTTTGTGATTTTTTGCATTGCACTTATTCCATTTAGCTTGTAACTGAGCTTTTAGAAGGTTGACACTGTGTATTTTATAGAGATTTTTTGTGTACTATAATGCTGATATGAGCAGAACTTATTTGGAAGGAATTCTTATGGAAATTTGTGCCTAGGGGTTATCTCATAAATGATATCTTCATATTTAGGTCTCTGCCTTGGGTTTTCACCTTACCTATGTTCTTGTTAATCCAATGTATACCTTATTGGTTCCATTATTTCTACTGATGATGCCATTAAAACATATTTACCTCTTTCCAAAATAATTAAATAATTGATTCAGGTATCCTAACAGATCCGTTCTTTTTGTCACAGATATGGAACTGCTCGCGTGATGAAGGTATCATTTCTGTCTCCATTTGCTTTGACTGTCTTTGATTTCAGGCTTGTTGCACACACGAGAACAGTGGTGTTTGAAGATGAACAATTACCATTGAGCATGATAGGCTTGATTTTGTCTGAAATCTGTAATCAGTTAGTCTTTTGTCAACTGTTAGAGTGATTCAAGGCTATATGTTTTTGCTCGTCACAGTTGATGAAAGATTAAATGAATTGCAATTTGGCTTTTAATACCTGATTCACAAGCCTGGGTCATACAATTTTTGACTGCATGAGTGTCAATGGATCTCAAGAACATTGTCCTTGGATTTAAGTAATTGACTGCATGGGTGTCAATGGATCTCAAGATCATTGTCCTTGGATTTAAGTAATTGACTGCATGGGTGTCAATTTTTTACTCTATAGGTGTCAGTTGATCTTCTCTCATAACTGGAAGCAGAATTTTGAATTTTGTTTCTTCCTCTATCCTGGTATTTACACTCAGATTGCAAATGGTTTTGGAATCAATATTTTCCTTGGATGGTAGTTGGTTTGTTAATCATTAAACACTACCTTGGCTGCCTTTGAAGTGATGTTGACAGCACCAGGTTTTCAGTGATGAAAATTTTACTTTGAAAGGAGAGGAATAGAAGGGTTTTTGAGGGGATAGACTCTTCTGAGAGAATTAGGGACACGTGGTTCCAGACTCTCTTAACTTTGATGAGGATTTAGGAACCTTATTACATTTTGGTTTACTTGTAAAGTTTATTTTTTCTTGTAATCAGTTTGCACCTTGTTGTCTTTGTTAGTATATTGCTTCTTTCTCTTCTTAAAAAATGATAAAATTTTACTTGTTGCAAGAATGTGGTGTTATTAGAATTTGTTTAAGTGTTATTAGAATTTGTAAATTAATTTTTGTCTTATGACAGCTGCTGTCCGTGTTCATGAGTTCTACAAGACATCATATTTTAAGAAAGGTATCCACCCCATCCCAGGAGCTTGGCAGGCGCTTCATAAGCTGTCAAGATGTTGCAACCTATCAGTTGTGACGTATGTATGCTTGGTATATTTACCTTTCAGTGTGCAGAAACAATTTAATCGTGAAGATTAAGCAGATCTTTTGATGTATGTATGAATAGATCTCGGCAAAATGCAATCAAGGAACACACAGTTGAGTGGATTGAGAGGCATTTTCCAGGACTTTTTCGAGAGATTCACTTTGGCAACCACTTTGCCATAGATGGAGAGTCTAGACCAAAGTCAGAAATATGCAGGTATACCATTAACCTCGTTGCATTGTCAAAGAGTCAAAACATGTGCTTTACTTTACCTCCAAAGTTATTATGGTGTTTTAAGTGCAAATAACCATCCCTAGAGTGGAGATCCCCTGAAAAACTCGTGAATGAGCTTAATAAAATAAGTAGGTGCAGAAAAGTGGCGCTGACTGGTGTTTTTTGATGATTTGGACGGCAGATCCTTTGGAGCAAAGGTTCTGATAGACGACAATCCGAGATATGCAATTGAATGTGCAGAAATTGGAATCAGGGTTCTTCTGTTTGATTATGAGAACTCCTATCCTTGGTGCAAGACAGAGTCCGTTCATCAACATCCCCTGGTAACAAAAGTGCATAACTGGGAGGAAGTGGAGCGGCAAATACTTTCCTGGGTTCAATAATTTATGAACAACAGTGGAGACCATCACTTGATGAAGATATACTAGAAATTGATTCTTACTCTCTATTACTACATTTGATGGTGGCCAAAAATGCTTTAGGTTTACACATAGGGGCCGTGGTTTATTTATTTATTTTTCCCCTTTTTTTTTTGGCTTAAGAGTAGACCACCCACGGAGGAACTAGTCAGATATATCCACGGAATCAGGTGTGATTGCAGCAGTGCCACAAATATGAAGAAGAAAAAGGTTTTGATATTTTCCTAATTTTGGAAACCAGCCATTTTCTTTACGCTCTTAAAATTGCTATTCTAATTTATTTTCAGTCAGTAAAATCCTTATTCAACCCTTTATAACTCGTATATATAAAATGTTAAAATACTCATCACACTCGCACGCATACACATAACTCAGTCAAACGTGCTTGTTCTTATAGCAGTTTTGATGGTTATATATCTGGTTTTTATTTGTTGAGTTTAATTTTAAATAGTAAAAAAGGATGTTTGAGGTTTTGGTTAAAAATGAATGAAGGTATAATAAGTTGATATTTTGAACTTCAAAGACTAAAAAAATAATTTAAAAGCAAAAATAAAAATTGACGGCTAGTATTTATACTCTAATTATCAGACAGCAAACAGAAAGAAAACCCCTAACCACAAGCATCATTAAGACCAGGATGGCACTTTCTAATGCGCTTCATATGCTTCATTTGCACCAAACTTGAAGATAATTATTTTCTGTACATCCAACTTCCCAAACAACAATTACAACTCTTGCCTTTGAACATCATGAGTCAGAATATGGTTGAAGGTGGAGATCCTTCTGTCCTTTCCATCAACTTGATGCCATAAGCTTGCAACATATCCAGTGCTGCATCATCATCACCAACTATGGTCAGTGCCGAGAAAATACATAATAGCTATTTCCCTGCTGTTGCAGGATAAATCTATCTAGCACATTGCAGTTACCTGGTATGTAAACTTCAGGTTCAATAGGTCTTAACACACCTCGACTTTTGATCTTATCTACGAGTATTAGCTGCAACAGTTGAAATTATAAAAGCGGTTTAGTTCAGTTCAAAGCATTTTCTTGGAAAATGTGTAATGGCAATATGTACCAGAGCTCCAATTGCTGCTGGAATCCCAACTGTGAGTGCCATAGCAGTCCTCATTTTCCCATTACTCTTCCCAATCTCCACTAATGTGGCTGTGTGCTTTTCTGTGTTTTTGCTATCTGGGAAATCTACTTCTATTTCATGATGCAAAAGCACCATATCCTGATGATTAATCGAACCAATGGGGTAAATCTTTTTCCATAATTTAAGCATTTCTATTGAAATTTCACAAGAACCTGAGAAACCAACACTGACGATTCCTATACCTGTTCTGTGCTCGCATATGCCAGCCTTTTTTCCATGCAAAGGCAGGTGACAGCAAATGCACATCGACAGGAAGCAGGAATTTTTGTCTGCTCGTTAAGTCCCAAATATCTGCGGACATGACAGGAAACAATTCAATCTACTAACTTGTTGGATTGCCTAGAGCTATAAGCACCAAGTTCATAGTTTTGAGATCAAATGTTGCCTGGCTTGACCAGTTTTCACAATCTATTTGCACATAAAAAGCTCAGTCCTGTCAAGGAGCACTCACACAATAGTTTTAGCAGCCTTTACTGCATTCGCTTGCTCTTTGCAATGTCCAAGTGTGGAAATCCTTTCACTTATCTCCTTCTCTCCAATTAGAGCTCCAGCCGAATCCTGATTAGCAATTTTGAGAAGCTCATAAAGGAACTTTTGAAATGTGGGCCTTGCTCCATGTGTAAGAATTGGATGAGGTTCAGTATCAAATAGACCAATTCTTGCTAGTGTTGCCATTGTTTCACTAAACCCTGAACAAGTTTTTGAGAGAGAAGTTTCAAAAAAATGCAGTCGAAATCCAAATAAGGAGATACGCCGGAGGTCTACATTGATAACCATCAAGTGAAATAGTTTAGCTAAATATAGCTGAACACAAAATGCAATGAACACTGTACCTTCATAGCGGAGCGTTCCACGGAAAATGGTAGATGCTTCATGTTCTATTCCATATAGTTCCCCATAAACAAGAGAATTGCGATTTGGAAGACATTCCAATGCAAATGCTGGAAGATCAGGTAGTCGGTATTTTTTGGCCGAATCATAAAGGCTGTCTCCTGAAAATTGGCAAATATCAAGCCACAGCAAAATCAAAAGAGAAAAAGAAAAGACAATGATAATTGTAACTAAGAGAATATTTTTTGAGCTCTAAAGAATGGTAAGGCAAATACACAGAAGTAAAATCGAAAAAAAGGACAGTAATAATAGTAACTGAAGAGAAAATACTGTTTTAAGTTGAAGGATGATAAAGCAAGTATTCTGTATTAGTACCATCTTTTTGGGAGCAATAACATACCACATTACCATTAGTAGCCCTAATAAGAAACTTATGACGTGGAGTGGTCTGA